TAGAGTTTGGGGGGTGGGTGATTTTAAAAAACCAAACCTTTTCTTTCTATGAAAGAAGGTTTTGTTTTGTGTTTTTTTTTTCAAAAGGCACAATAAATTTTCTGCTATCATGCCTTTGTAGGTTGGAGCTGCTGTGCCTGAATTAGAAAGAGAAATATCTCTGTTTGGAGAGCCAAGGGAGGGATTTTGCCATTTTCAGAAAGTGTTTGGCCAAAGCAGACACAATAGCATTTGAGTTATTAGATCAGGCTTATGGCAGTGTGCTTTTAAAAGCATTGTTAGACTTCTGACCCAGCCATCATGGCTTGCAGTAACCTCTTTAAGAAATCTTGCAGAATGAAAGGAAGAAATGTGTCCTAAGATTTATCTGCCTTTAGCAGGAACCCAGGCGTAGTTGTGAGAAGATTAGGTTTCTTAAAGTGCTTTTCAGTATCAAAGCTTTCATAAACTACTAGTAATACTGTAATACTGAATATTCAGATCACTTTTAAAGTGGATTGTTTACTTCCTAAAATGAACTTGATTAAGAAGCTGGTTCCCCCTATCCCCCTCCCCAAATTATTACAGGATTCAAAGAGGTCACACCTGGAACAGCATGAAGAACCTGGGGAATTTTTAGAGGGGTTCTTGCCACTGTAATGCCTCATGTCTCTGCCAAAAAAGAGGAATCCTTCAGACAGAGCAAAATTTGATGCATTGCATGGGGAGCTAGGTGAAAGGGGAAACTGCCACTTCCATATTAGGGAAGCTCTTCCCTGTACTTAGCAGGTTCTTTGTTCTATATAATGTTCTATATATGAGTATGTAAAGTCTACTAAAAACAATTGCTTTATATCTAAGTATATGGGATTAGTACAAAATATGGGGGGGATACAGGATCAACATATATTCCTATGTTGAAAAGCATATAACAGGAAAATATTTGTGGTTGTTGTGATGAAGTGAATCTATAAGAAGATTCTGTCTGTTCTGTAAAGAAACAAGGATACATGCATTTTCAGCGGGAGAATAGTAGAATGGCTTTTTTCCCTAAAATGTAGCTAAGAATTTAGGGGCGTACGTGGCAGTACATGTGATAGGCAGCTGGTATCTAAGAATAAATATCTGTTACAATCAGTCCATCTATTTCTCTATAAACATACATATATGAGGACTGATATCTTTCAAAGTACATGCAAGTATTCATCCTCTACTTAACAGCCTCTTCCAGCAGGCAGAATGAAGACAGAACTATCTTTCCTTTCTGGCAGCTGAAGAACTAAGGATTGCTTAGAAATTAAAGCTGGCCTGTTTCATATCTCTTTTAGAAGATTGGTCACTGCAATAACCCTGCCTTCCTAACTCCTATGCTGCTGTTCCTGCCTCATGTCTTTTGGCCTTATCAGTGGGAAATACCTATGCACTGGGACAGCAACCAGGGTTTCTTTCTGATTCATCTTGTTCCTTTTACAAAGATCCAACTAGTGCATTCAATTAGCAAGATCTGTTCACGCTTCTGCCCTATTGAATCCTATAGGAATTCTTCTGTTAGGAATGTAGAGCAGAAAATAGGTGCCAGCCTGGATCGTCAGTCACTGGCTTTGTTGTTTTGAACTAGTTCCTTCAGAGCTCAGACTTAAGACCACCCATCAGCCACACAAAGTCTTTGTTTGATTTTATGATTCTGGCAGCTGAACTAGTGTTATTTCTTTTATACCAAGCTAGGAAAGGATGACAGGCATTTGCTGGGGGTTGATACTTCCTAATCCTCTGCTGTAGCTGACTGCTCTAATATATGGGGTCCTTTATGTTTGTTGTAGGCTCCTACCCAGAGACTCAAGCATCCGAAGCTCCCGCAGCAGCGCAGATGGACGGGCCCGATCTAGCCTTCCCCATTTCTCCCCGAACTAGCAAAAGCCGCATGTCTGTGAAGCTACGACGATCCTCTGGCTCAGCTAACAAGACATAAGAAGGGGCGAAGCTTCCTGCTGTCCCTTTCCCCCAGAAACCAGCCTTTTTCTCTCTGCTACATATTTGTTGCCTGTTCCTCCACTCTTAAGTTTATTTTAGAGAACCAGACTGGAATTTTATTTCAAATTGAAAATATTTTAGCTTTTGTTAGAATATTTTTATCCAACTTCCTGCTTCAAGTAGTTTGTCTGTGTGGGGTTCGTTCTGCGCTGTTTTTACAGTCATTGTGAGATGGCCAGCAGTTAAGTAACCATACTATTTTAACCTCTAGGGTTGATTGCTAGCCACTCCTGGATCTGGAGACTGCAGGCATGTTCCACTCAATTTGTAGTGCGATCATTTCTGTAATAATATTTAAAATGTACCATTTGCAATTGAATGTACTGCCTTTTTAAATGAAGGCACGTTTCTGAAGTCTTCTCTGCAAAAGATGACTAAAATACACAGAACTATGTACAGAGTATATGATGTGGATAATCCCTTTCAAGGAAATGGAGGCCCATCACCAGCTCTGTTATTGTCATTCACTGTTGGACAGGCACAACAAGATTCTAGTGCTGAAATACTAACAGCTTTCTATTTGCTTCCTAGTATTTGCTTTCCATTTGGGACTTAAGGCTGCAGTGAAGCTTTCTCTTCCAAAAACTGAGACTGTCCCTTGAACTAGCTGTGTAAGGTATACACACACATACATTTTCAAGCACTTTGCATTTCAGTCATTTGCTCTGAGCTATGTACTATTTCTGGGGCGGGGGGACTGTGCCCTTGTAGCAGCAGATGTATGCGCAAACACATTCCACTTTAAATTCCTACTATCCCCCAGAGGTATTTTCATACCGAAAAAGAAATTCAATTGCATTGCCATATTCTGCTCTAACAAAATGTAGCATGGCACCGGTACTAACTGCATGTGTAAATATCTGTCCCTCACTTGGGCAACTATAGAAATATATATTGATGTATTTGTTCGCCGTGTAGTATATACAAATTTGTAATGGTTGAAGAAAAGACATGCTATTTAATAATACAATAAAATTATTCTTACCACCTTCTGTGTACTCTCTATTCCACCGCAAAGATTGATTGATTTAAGCAAATATTTTCAATGTTGCTAGCTTCATGAAGAGAGAATTGAGTACCATTGGAATGGCTGATCATTTGGTTTATATGAATGCTAAGCTTTTACAATGAGGTTCTTGGCTGAAAACTTTTTGGTTCACAGTGCCTTAGTCCCACTTAGTCCCAAAAGTGGCTTTCCTAAAATGTGAATTCGTGATTCTCTAAATTTTGCATAAGCAGATTGGTAAAGCAACATAGAGTATTTAATGTATAATGAATTTTGTTGAAACCATACTTTAACACTTTCAAAATATATTTTATGGAAGCCTCTCTCATTTGGGTTCCTAAGTTGAGCTATTGTACAAATATAAATATTAAAATAGCAGCTTGCACTGGAAATGCTTGACAGTTGCTTTACATATATATTTGAGAACTCTCAAAGAATGGATTTATTTTTATATTTGCTAAAATTGCTGTTTACCTTAATTCCTACAAGATCAATGTAGAATTCATTGTTCAGATAGCATGCTGTATTTCTCAAATGTCAGGATGATATTGCCAATATTATTTTAGCGAGAAAATGAAGTTGAAGTGAAAAAGAAGTTCCCTTTGAGCACCTCTAATTTTTCATTGAATAGCATCTTCATACTACCCTGACTAAAATGATAATTTGCAAAATTAATATATCAAAATACCCAAAAACTAGAGGAAAGTCTACAAAAATGAATTTCTGGAAAATGTATCAATGATAATTTTGGAAATGAAAAATAGTCCTGACCGCCAGAATTTTCAAAGATGTATTTTTTTTATTTGAAAAACCAGAATTGAAGGCTGGAACCAAAAGAGAGTTATGGTTCATACAACCCAGTACTTTGCCTTTTGAACAGCTGATTCTTATGCTATATTACAAACTGGTTTTGAAACTTTGATTTCAAAAGCAGTTTGCTATGCAGAGTGGAGCTGTTGATTCTGTGAATAATTGCCGAATATTCAGCATGTAAACGTACCCTCCCTGTTACATGTTTCTGTGTATATTCTCCCTTTTACCATTTTTATTTTTGGAAGCTTCAAATGTTACACAAGATACTCAGTAAACAGGCATGGTAACAACAACAAAAAACCACCAATTCATAATTTAATAGCCAATAATGAATGAGAGTAGACAAAAAGGGCACTTTGCATGGGATTCTTGGACAGGACGTTGACTTGCTACAAATATCTTACTATAGTGTAATACAGAATACAATGCATAAAACACTTCACAGCAAATTAAATTGTTTAAAACATCAGAGGCTGAGGAGATGAATTCCATTAAGTAAATATAGCAAGGCTTGCTTGCTCTCCTTCCCCTGGAGAATTAATAAACTTTAACTGTACAGTGTTAGAATGTACCTTTGGTCCTAGGGGCAGGAGTAACCAGAATAAAAGATACCCTTCATAGTCCCAATTTCCCTAGACAGCTTACTTACAGATAGGCACACAGATGGCTCTAAGTTTGGCTATAGTAGTTTAGACACACAGAAAAGTGTTGAGTTTTTTCCTCTTAATGTAATGTCACATTTTTCAGTCATAAGGCGGAAGGGGTGCGCTCTTCCTAAAACATGGTTGATACGGTTTCCCATTCCTTGGCTGAAATGACAAAATTTAAGTATGTGGAAACTGTTTCATGGAATATACAGTGCATTCTAACCCCTTTATAAGGCAGCAAGGATAATTCGTGCTCATACAGTTTGCCACAATGTAGGTAGTAGGCATGTTGGCTTTGCACTGTCATTTTCCATAGGAATTACAGTTTGGGCAGGATTCCTTTGGGTCACCACTAGATACCAGGGAACAAGGCTTAGGAAAGCGAAGGTACTCTGTCCTGGGAACAGGAGCATGGGTCACACCGGTTACCTGACAGATGCAATCAAGCAATTCTCCATCCCGTCTCTGTATTTCATCGTTCAGTCTAGTGAGAAGAGGGTCAAGCCGTGGGCCAGCAAGCCAGCCTAGCAGCCTGGCCTAACAGGCATCTGCAGCAGGAGGACCTGTCTGTTTTCTGAAGGGTGGCACTTGTTGATGTGCCGCGTGAGACCGGGCGAGCTGAAAAAAGTCGAGGGGCAATGCTTGCACGAGAAGATCTGCTGTTGGCCGTGGGCGACGGCAACAGCGCTACCCTCGGGCTGCCCTAGGGGCAAGAGCAGCTCCTCTCGCACGGCGTGCCACAGCCGGTGCTTGTCCCTGATGTCCGCCGACGGGAAGTGTGCCCCGCACAAGTGGCAAGGGAAGGTAATCTGCTGCGGAGGCGGGTGCGGGGGTGGCGGGCTGCTGCTGTACGCAGCGGGGGCGCCGGGAGGCTGATGGGTGCCCAGGTGCTTGCGCAGGTACGCCTGGCGACGGAAGGACTTGTGGCAATAGGGGCAGAGGAAGAGCTCGCCCGCAGGGACGCCCAGGGTGGAGCCGTCAGCGGCGCCGTCTTGGCTGGCCGGGCAAAGCTGGGCGGCCCGAGAAGTCGGCGGATCCCGGCAGCAGGAGCTGTCCGCGGAGTCGTGGTGCTGATCGCGGACGGCCTCCCTGCGGCTGTTCTCTTTGTCCTGGGCGGGGCCGGCGGAGGCGGGCGGACGCGGCTTGTGCCAGCGGCGGTGAGAGGCCAGATTGGCCGGGCAGCTGAATATCTTGTGGCACTCCGGGCAGCGGTACTCGACGCGCACGATCCGCGAGCAGCGGTGCTGGGCCAGCGCCAGAGGCCCGGCGTAGGGCTCCTTGCACAGCTGGCAGACGAACTCGCCCAGCAGGATCGGGCGAGCCCCGCGGGGCCCCTCCGCGCCCCCTTCCGCCGCCGCCTTGATGCGTAGCCCCAGCACCGGCGACGTGGTGACTTCGTCCGCGAAGCTCAGCTTGCGCGCGGCCTTGGGCTTCTTGGCGGGCGGCGCCTTGGCTCGCGGTGGCCGCTTGAGCGCGGCGGCGGGGCAGAGCGGCGCGGCAGGCAGGGGCAGCGGCAGGGGCAGCGGCACGGGCACGGGCACGGGCAAGGGCGTGCAAGGATGCAGGGACACCTTGTCCGCCACCACTAAGGCAGGCCCCAGCGGGAAGGACTCGGCGGAGACGGGGGAGTGGGCACCTCGCTCGGGCTCCCCCGCTGCTGAGGCTGTGCTGTCCGAGCTTCCCGCGCTCCAGATAGCCGCCAGTGGGGAGCTCGGCTGGGGCTGTCGCTCTGGCGGGGGCGGGGGTGGCAGCGGCTCGGGCAAAGGCGCGGGCACGCGGGGAGCCTCCACCAGGCGGGGCGTGGGGGGTCCGCCAGGAGGTCGCACCCGATAGGAGCCCCCCGGTCTCCTGCTCCGCTTCACTAGGAAGCCCCGCGGCATCTTCCAGCGACACCGACGGCAGCGCTCCGCTTGCACCGGCGGCTCCGCGTGCCCGACGGGCGTTTATACCTCAGGCACCTCCAGGGAGTCCGCGCGTCACCTCTCCCTCAGCCCAGGGCGGCCAATGAAGAGTTGGGAAGGCGAATTCGGAGGGAGGGGGGAAGCGAGCTGCAAAAGGCGGGAGAATCAGAGCTCGGGTGGGAGGCCGGACCCTTTCCCAGTCAGCGTAAGCTATGGGGCGGGGGCGGGGGCGGGCGGGGGCACAGACGCCACCCTGCTTCAGCAGCACGCCAGTGTCCCGCTCGGCAGCACCGCGCACTGCTGCGTGCTGGCACTGAGCGGTCCCTCCAGCCTTGGCGCCCCCCCCCCCCCACCTCCCGACCGCACGCTTGCCTTGCTTTATTTTCCCGAGCCTCGTTCCTGGGCGAACTGGCCAGCCTCGGCTTTTCCTCCAGGGCTTCTTGCCCAAGGTCTCTGGCGAAAGGCGTAGTGCAGCTGGCTGGCAAGCTTCGCCCAGGCATCAGGCGCCGGTGCTTCAGATGCCTTCCCCGAGTGGGGCGTTCGGCCCCTTCGCTCCTGCCGCGGAGCGGGCATCCGGTGGAGTCCGCTTCCAGCCCGCCCGGCAACAGGTGGATTCCTATACGGAGGATGGGTTTTTCTTACGGGAACGCAGGACGATTCCCTCTCCCCGCAAGAATACCAGAAGCGCTAAAGAAATGCCAGGTTCTCTCCGCCCCGCCCCACTGGAAAGGTCTGGGCGCCCCCGTCGGCCCCATGCAACTCCACTGAGGAAAGGGAAGCTTCGCGCGCACCCCTCAGCCTTGCCAGCCTGGCCTAAGCGAGGGCTTCGCCTGGCCTCCCGCCTTCAATAGAGACGGAGCTGTCCAGCAGCACTCCTCGGCTGCTCTTCAGAGGGGCGGAAGCCACGACACTTCTCTGCCTAGCCTCCCGTCTCCGAGGCCCCGCGTAATTGCCATGCCTCCTGCAGGCTTGGCTTCCCGGTGAAGAAGCGGGAGCGTGAGGGGAAGGGGGCCGCTGTGGCTGGGGTTGCCATCCTCTCCCTCAGCTAGCAGGGCTCAAGGTCTATTTTCGGTGCTGGAACCCAGTCCTGACCAGCGTCAGTAAAGAAGAAAGGGCCTCTTTGCATGTGCAGGGATGATTTGCCTTTCTGCTGAATGGCCATTAGGACCCCTATCCATCTGGTATTTGAGGAGAGCAAATGGCTATCAAGGCACACTTCAACAGCAGGGCCTTTCATTAGAAAGAATAACTGCACTGTCATGATTTCGCCCCCTGATTATTTATTTATTTATTTATTAAAACATTTTTATGCCGCCCCATTCGCCAAAGCCTCGGGGCAGCTTACAACATCGATAAAACAATAAGTTAAAATCCATATAAAATATAAAATGATTACATTTTTCTTCTCTTGGTCTTTAGCTTCCCAGGCCCTCACTTCTAGCACTGCCCAAAACTCAGCTGTAAAAAATCATGCCCTTCTACTTCTATTGAACTTGGGATTTTTTCTATAACTGGCTGGAGAAACGGAACTTGGCGTAAACTTAGAGATGTTTTCAAATTATTATAAATTGATTTGAATTTGACTTTAGAATGTTTAAAAAATATGTAGTAGGGGGTTGACCCAGTCATTATTTGTTTTTCAGCACCAGGCTAAGACCTTTTTATTTAAATCTCATTTATTAATTTATTTGTATTTATAAGATTTTAAATCTTTTAAGCCGAGATGCACTGGCTTTTAATATTTTTACTGTTTAATTGTTATATTTATGTATTTTGTTTTGTTGTGAGCCACCCTGAGGCTTTGTTGCAATGGGGGTGGCATAAAAATGTTTTAAATAAATAAATAAATAAATAAATAAATCTATGTATGTGATGTTTGATGTTTTTAGTGTTAGTTTAGTTTAAAATTTTAATAAAAAATTTATTTAAAAAAATCATGCCCTTCTCTCACTGATCAGACCATATGATGACCCTCCACTGTCTTCTTCTGCATCTGATGAAAACGACAGAGCCAGTGCTCCTACCTTTCAAGCGTCGTGGCTACAAGCACAGCACCAGCAGCAATTCATCCCAGCTCATCTGTGACTGGTTCATCTCATCTCTTCCTTCTATTACCCTGGCAGGTAACCTGCATTCAGAAAGGGAAAGTCATAGACAATAGTATCAAAAGCCTGCAGCAGACTGAGCGGTTCATCAGTCTTAATGGGCAGGAAGGGTCATGAATGCGGGAGTTTTAATATAATACATATATTACATTTTCAATACACATAATGATAATAATATTTAGCATCCATAGAAAACTATCAAGTACTTCACATGCATTATCTAGCTGTAATCATTATAACAACCATACAAAGTAAATCTGAATTATTTTCTCCCATCTTGCAGATGGAGAGACAGAGAAAGCCTAAGGCCACCTAGTATAGACATATATTTTATACAATACATATATATTGTATTGTGTTCATTAAATATTTGTATGGCATTTTATTTTTAACTCTATCTTTATAATTACATTTTACTTCTTCAACTGCTTGCCATTGTCCCAGAGACATTAGTTATTAGGTAAATTAGAAATATATTAAACTGCATACTAAATAATACAAATAGTGAATACACAGTAGAGAAACTGGAATGCCCTAATTCTTAACATGCCACTGTGCAATTCCAACTGCCCTTGTATACTAGATACAAAGGGGTCACAAAGCAATCTCAGGGGAATCATGGGGATAGAAGGAGGAATTTGAATTTAGTCAATGGATTATAACTGGATATATACGTGGTTCAGGAAATGGCTTATTATTCTGCAGGACACAGTCCAACCCTAAACAGGCCAGCTCACTTCAACAGTAGGCAGCCAGAGTGTCTGTAGACCTGGAATTCACTGCAAGCTATAAACTATATCTGACAGTTTTTAATGCAACTTGTTCCATGTGCCCTTCATCTTTCCCATGCTGAAGGCACTCTGGTTTGTTTGTTTGTTTTTTGCTTTTCCACCAGGTGGAACAAAGTGCTTTGTGGTTAATCAAAGTATATACAATTTCAGGCCTGGAGTCAATTCCAGCCCACCTGGAATCCCAGTTCAACCACCTTGAATGGCTCAGGCAGGAATACCACCTTTCACCCAAACACAGATTGTTTGGTGGTTTCCTAAATTTTGTGCAATCTCCCTGCCACAAAACTGAAAATTGAAATTCCTTTCCTAAATCTTAGTTTCTGGGTTTGGGAGCAACAAGCTACAATATGCTAACATTTTCAGGCCAGCCTCCATTTGCCTTTGGCCCCAGTCCATAAGAGCTTCTCCAAAATTAAATAGCCGTTGAGCAGAAATAAGTTCAGCACCACTGGAGTTAAAGAATGGCATAATAAGGCTAGAAATTTAGGAGGGCTGAGTCTTTGAAAATGGTAAGACTTTTTCTAATTCTTTTTACACACTCAGACTCAGCTTAGACAGGGTGCTGAACTGGTGGGAAAGAGTCATGTGACATGGCCCAACAAAGTGATTGTGTTATTTACACATGTGCCTTTGTAATGTGAGACTGCACCAAAATGAATGACCTCTCATGCTGTTGAGTGTATATGAGTGCCTATGTGAAGAGCGCATTGATCGCTCTTGGTCCAGAGCAGGCACTATTGAACATCCCCAGAGAGTTACCTGGTAGAACTAGTAAAATTCAGAGAGGACCCTGCTTGCCATTCAGGACAGCTGGAATCAGATACATGCTACTCATGAAAGAGTAAATGCAGCCAACCAGAACTTGGGAACCAGAAGGAGAAGGCTTCCCGGCTTGGTGGTGGTGATGGTAGGACAGGGGGTGAGGATGGGGAGATGAGAAATTTAAACTTCATATTTTTGCTTAAAAGAGAACTCTTCTTTGAGAGGCCATTTCCCAAAGTACTGAATGAGTTTCTAAGTTGAATCTTGTGGTTGATGCACACCTCTAATTTGTAACCCACAGGGAAGTTAAGTTCTTTGGGTTCTTCTTCCTCCAAAGTTAGGTAATTATAACTGTTCCATTTATTTTCCTTTCCTCCTAAATCTTTCAATTTCTTCCCCCACCCTCATGACCTTTTTCACCAGATTCAATTTTCTCTGGACACCTAACTTTCCAATCCCAACTCTGCCATTTTCTTAGTGTCACTTGTCACTCCTTAATAGGTAAATGCTAATTCCCCCAATCCCTTTCTTTCTCTTTTCAAGTTAGGCCTGTGACTTGATGTGAGTCATGGTGCCTGTTAGGTGTAATTTACATAATTTCTACCCAGGTGGAACTTATTATGATGTCTGACTCTGGATAGCATGGCTTGTTGAAAGCCAGTATGGCATAATGGTTCCAATGTTAGGGTGGGACTTAGGAGATCTAGGTTCTAACCCCAATTGGCCATGAAGCTTGCTTGGGTGACTTTGCACCAATATCTCACAATGCTGTTGCAAGGATAAAATGGAGAGGAGAAGGTACACTACCTTGGGTTATTCACAAAATGTGGTCATGATATATGTAAAATTAATAAATAAAATACCACATACCAGTGGAGAGGAAAGAAGGAACTCTGGATTATGGAATGAGAGAATCTGTTTTTCTAAAGAATTTTCTGAATGAGCATCACAAGTTCAGGAATTTGTAAGATTGGACCACAAATTATGCTTGTGTTAGTGGCAAGTTTTGGTATTTATTGAAACAGTATTCTCATGCTTTGTTATGTAGATCAAGGCATCCTCAGATCTCAAAGCAGGTAGGGCCTCAGTCATATCAAACAGGCAAGTCTCACTAGTTTCCAGCAGACAGCTGAAAGACACTGTCTGAGATACTGGGGAAATGTTTGCTGTATCTTTAAAGGACAGGGGAGTAAAAAAAAAAAAAAAAAGGGGGGGGGGGGGTTAGGTTTTCTATTACAGAATAAAGAACTGTACTGCAGTCTCATGAACAATCCAGACTAGTTCCTCTGCATGCATAATAAGTTCAGTTTGAAACTCTTCA